CTTCAGAGTACATAAAATTTACCTGGGGGATGTTTGTCTAAAATGCAGATTCTAAATCTCACTGTCCATATATTCAAATTAAGTAGGTATGGGGTAGTGCCCAGGAACTGGCATTTCAAACATAATCTAGATTAATCCCATAATATTATAATTAAGAAAACTATGTTAAGTAATCTATTTGTCTATAATCACACAGAATCCTGGTCTCATTAACTCAAGGCAGTGGTCTTCTTACTACGCTACTTAATGTACTTTATAGTTGAAAGAACTGGTACATAGAAAGAATAAATTACTAACATATTATTTGAGTAAATGAGCAATCTTGGAATACCTCCTGCTCCAATTGTTTCTTTTTTTAAGAGTTATTTATTTATCTTTAGAGGGGGAAGGGAAGGAGACAAGGAGAGAAATATCAATATATGGTTGCCTCTCTTGCATTCCCTGCTGGGAACTGGCCTGCAACCCAGGCATGTACCCTGACTGGGAACCAAACCGCAATTCTTTGGTTCGCAAGCCCGCACTCAATCCACTGAGCTACACCAGCCAAGGCTAATTGCTTCTTATTATTCATTTATTTAGTATTTCTTAAACATTTTCTATATACATAGCAAGGCAGTAGATTACAAAACAATAAGATATAAACCCTGTCCTCTACAAGCAATTATCAGTTAGAAGGACAAGCAAGGCAAATACATAAAACATATCCAACAACAGCAAGACTATATGAGTAAATGCCAAAATAAGCGGTTTAGCCAACTATAATTAACCAATTTATACTGACTTCACTCTGTACCTTTTATACATAGTTAGAATTTATCCATTACAGAAAAGTACAATTTCTTCCCTTTCACTATTAAGAAAGTTCTCCTTTAGTAAAGAAAAACTGCTGTCCTTGTATGGAATTAATATCTCTCTCTCCATATTTCATACATGAACCAACACTAATATCACCACCACCTCATATGCCAGGAAAGCTTTTGTAGAAACCAAAGTTGGTATAATTTTTATGCAAAGGTCTAATTAAGAGTTAGACTCTTCAAATGGTAAAGAGAAGCTCTCTCCTGGACTATCTTCCTGATCACATGTGGTACATTAAAGGTGTGGTTTCTTCATGCCCCCAGTAGAGTATTATACATCCATATAATACCACAGCCTCATTATAGTCAAAGGGTACTTTGCAACCCATTGTCTTTGGGCTTGGCCAGTGAGATGTTATAGGACCAGAGTCTCGAAATGGGCTTGTGTGATTCAGCTTATCCTCTTATACTTCTGCCATTGCCATGAGCCAAGTTTCCCCAGAGAGATTTTACCCTTCCCTCCAGCCTGGGCCTCAGAATGAGACAAGTGAAGCAGAATAAATGCTTATTGTTATACAGCACTATGATTTTGTGGTTGTCAATTATTCTTCAGCAAAAACTGACTGAATCACAATATTTCAAAATCTGAACAAGACTGAGTAATTACATACATAATGCAGTAGTTCTCAAACCTGCATGAGTGAGAATCTTTGGGGTTTAAGTTTTTAAAAAAATATATAGGTCCCAGAGAGATCCATTCAGTACATTTAGACTGTGGGCCAGGAATATGCATTTTATCAAGAAGAAAAGGTCATCCTGTTGCAGTGCCCACATCTTGAGAAACACCAAAATAAAGATTATTAAATTTCCGGTTCCTCAACAATATTCATTAACTGTTCAAGAACACTAATTAAATAAGTGAATCTTGCCTGAGAATGTGTGTGTTCATAAAGAGATGTACGTAAAACTGAAATCTAGTCAAGTGAATGACTTCAAGCGCAGGAAGATTCAGGTGCCACTAATGTCAATTCAGCCATGGACACATCTGAGCCACCCAAGGAGAATTATAATGTGATACAGGACCCCAAGTAACTTCAGAGTGTACTGGAGACCCTTCCAGGTGTGGACCCCAACAATGAAGCTACTGAAAATATCATGGGCTGCCTGGCGTCCCAAGTGACTAAGGATGGTGTGGGAGTCAGGAGTGAGTCTCTCAAAAATATGCCACCCTGGCATGCAGATTATTTTGATCTGAAAATAATTAAAGCCCAACAAACTCAAAAAGTTTGTTACTTCCCCTTTACCTGCCTAAAGAGATTCAGATAGAAAAATCTGCTTCAGAAAGGGAACCTTAGCATTTTAACCTTAGCACATATGAATTGACCACTTCACCCATCCTTAGTTCAAAATTATACAGAGTACATCCTATTTTTCTCTCACTGTCTTCAGAATTTTCATGTTTATGTGAATTCCCCATGCACACATACTAACTTTGATTTTCTCCTGTTAATTTGCTGTAAATCATTTAAATTATTCAATCAGCCAGAAGAACTAAAGGGGTAAAGAGAAAGTTTCCTAGGCCCCAACAATGGCAAGGACAAGAATTAAGACTGGAAGTAAAGGGTAGCTAACCTGCTCAGGGGGTTGCATAAAATGGGGTGGGATATAGAGTTAGATATGTTATCTGTAACAATTACAAAATAAATAAACTTAGTAACTTTCTTCTTCCAAGAAAAAAATTTTTACAGAGGCTTACCTTTAAAAAGGTATGGCATTGTACTGTATCTTATTAAAATAAGTAATTCATTTAAAAACCAAACAAGCATATCCTATTTTTATAAATTCTAATGTTCTGCATACCCATTGCTCTTAGAAGTAAGGAATTCAAGAACTATATAGAGTAAGTGGGAAAGAGAAATTCAAAATAAATAACCATGACTCCTCAAAGAGGGATGTGATATCAGTATGTCTTCCAGAACTTTTTCCTTTCAGCTGTACTATTTGCACCTGTGTGGTTACATCAACTGCACCTATGGATCCCCAAACCTACACATGCCCTCTTCAGTCACCTTGTACTTAATGAAACCTACACCTTGCACTAGCCACTCCAATACTAAGCAAAGCAAATGTTTACACATTTAGAACCATGACATTTGCATAATCAGTGCAATACAAAGATCATGTTAAGTGTCCCTGCTCTCTGCAAAGGCTGATCTGGAAGAAGACACTACTCTATCTCATGTTCTCAATTAGAGTAAGAAGTTGTTGTTATCATTAATGTTGTAGGTAAGGGTGCAGGCTATAATCCTGGCTCCATAATTTACTGTGTGGTGAGTTATTTAAATTCTCTGTACTTCACTCCCACCCTCTGTAAAAAGAACACAATTAAACCCGCAGTATAGAATTGAAGATCAAATGAAAAGTACATGTAAAGATATCAGAATAACTGCTGGCACATAGCAAGCAATAAATACTCGCTGTTATTGCTGTTATAGATCTGAAATCCTGAAATCCAGCTTCACAAATGTGGGCATTTGCTGCTATCTACTGCTAAAGAAAGAAAGAAGACTGAACCACTTTTTAAGCAGTAATTCTTTTAATCCATCTCTTTGAAAGGACATTATTCTAATATTTTATTTACCAAATAGAAATTAAGTTCATTTTAAAAATCAATGTTTTTTCTTTTACTTTTATCAGTTCTAATTATAAAAATAATAAGCCTGTCAACTCTAAATGAGAATCTAGATGCTAAAAAAGGTCAAAAATAACAAAGAACACTGAAAAGTCTATGCTTTGAGATTTCTGCTCTTAGAATGACTGCCTAAGCTTAAGGCTTTTATGTCCTGTATGTTTTACAGGAACCACATAACTCATGGCTACAGAATTTAAGTAGCTAACACAACATAAAGAAATCTAGTAAAAAGTATTCATTTTTATCCCAAAAAGAATTGTAATGACTAAGAATATTAAAATATGTTTCAAATATAGTTAATTCAGAAGTTCAAATATTTTAATGCAACTGTATAAATTTACCATAAGCATAATAGACATTAATCAAAAACATCAAAAGTACAAAAAGAAATTTCAAATTTTCTTTCAATATTTTCCCAATGCAGATTTCTGTGTCTAACATGGTGATGAGAAATTTACTGAATATGAAAAATACTTATAAAAATAAAAAAGCTATTGAAAAACTGTCATGTTGTCCCTGACTAGTTTTTAAAGGCATAATCTATTAAGCCATCCTAAACCAAATTTAAGAATTTTATGTATAATCCACTCCTAAAAATTTCTAAAGACTGCTTGAAAAATTAATTGGAAAAGGAACATGAGACTTTTTTTAAGGTGTCTGAAAACGAAAAAGAAAATATACTAAGGAAAGGATAAGTAGCATTTGTTTAAACTTCAGTAAAATGAAAAAGAACTTTCAGGACTCAAATCTCCTAAAAATCTGATGTGAGGTCAAAGTTGTCTCAATGACAAGACAGCCAATAAATACCAGATGACTAAATGTAAAGAGATCAAAAACACCTTTAAACCTTTATTCTTCCAAAAGTATATAAAATAGCAGTGTCCAGATTGAAAAGATGCAAATATTACTAAAATACTTTGGAACAAAGTAACACTAATGATAAAAAATAATAATTATACAATGTATTAAGAATCTCACATTTTATTCAATTCATTCAGTAACATTTTTGAATAATGAAAGGAACATGGATTCCCAAAGAGTGATCTAAATCTAAAAATAAGGTTCAAGTGTGTTTTATAATTGATGTTCTTTTTACTGTAAGCCAAATCTGCTTCTTTATATCAAAAATGAAAAAGGAAAGAAAGAAAATCTACAGGTCTGTTTCCAAAGATCTCATAATAGACACTATCCACTGGTGATTAAAATATTTTTAATCTTTGCATTACCTCACAGCTAAAAATGTCAAGAAACCACACCCAATATGTCTTTTTACCCCCAAGGGAGGTGTGAGGGGGTGGGAAATATGGGAGTGGGAACTCCAAACTACACAAAAGCACAAAAGGTTAGTTCCCTGGATGGATCGAGAAAGGAGTGCAGGTACATGGTCGTGGTTCCCTCTACAGTGATCTGGGGACGCATCAAAGGGCGAGCACAGGCCTCGGCCTCTGCGGGATCCCTCCCTCGCCACCCGCAGGGTAAGTGGCCCGGACGCGCCAGCCTGGGCTACTCACCGGCCGTAGTGCTGACCAACAGGACGGTCCACAGTAGAGAGGGCACCCGCCGGGGCCGCTGCAGCAAAGAAGTCATCCCTGGTTCAGCCAAGAAGCAGGAGAGCAGAGAAAAGAAATATGGAAAGTAAACACAGGCGGAGAAACACGGCCGGGAGGCTTGCCTTCTTTCCCGTCCGACTTACCCGGCCGTATTACAATGCAGTTTGAAAGGACAACTGGCAAATGAGAGGACCAAGCTGCAGAGCTTTCATTCCGCTGTAGGAATTCCCTTCATTTCTCTCCCACGCGGCTTGGAGGGTTCATTCGCCTAGGACCGGGTGCCTCAGCCCCGCAAACTGAAGGCATATCCGTGGGGAGAAGCAGGGAGACAAGAAGCAAGCCCCGCAGTTATTTCCCTCGTAGTTTCACGATATCAAAAAAATATCCAGGTCTAGGAGAAAACATATCCAGGGTGCAGAGGGGTGTAGAGCAGGGATTCGATGGAGGAGCCGAAGATCAGAACTAGTTCCCGACTGCCGGGAAAGGCGAAGCCCGGCGAGCGGCAGCGGCGGCTCCAGCTCCCGGCAGCCCGAGACGCACAGCCCGTGACTTCAGGGGGGCAGGATTCCTTTGAGTTTCGCTTCGGTGCTTCCTTCACTCCAATTTCGAGAACACCAAATTCTCTTCCTCCAACGGATCAAAAAAGGTGTCTGTCTCCATGGACAAACCCACAGCCTCCACGCCTTCCTGGAACGATCCTGTGAGGGTCTCTCCGGCGGGCTCAGGGGCAGTGGGAAGCGGGGGAGGGGAAGGGTCTGCAGGCTGGGCCCTGTGCTCCCAGAGACAGCGGAGGGAGGAGAGGTGCCAGGAGGAGGCTGCCCTTTCTACCCCTCCCGGGTGCGCTCCTCTTTCTTTTTTTATTGCTACCACTCGATCTCTCTTGAGGTAAATTCCACCATGAAAGCCTCGTCTTCTCCCGTCAATGGCTCCCGTAGGCGAACCACAACCCTCCCACCCACCCCCCTTTAAAGGAAGCCACTGCCGCCTCGTTCTCCCCCAGTTCTGAGCTCCGGGAGGAGCTCGGGCGTCGGGGGCCGAGGGCGGGGGACGGCAGTAGAGCGGATGTAGATGGCTGGGAAGGGGAGGTGGACACTGAGGCGGCGAGACACCCAGCACCCCTCCGGGAAGCACTTCCAGTGGCTCCTAGCAGACCAGACACAAAGGGGGGAGTCGCCGCAGCTGCCAGTCTGCGGAGCTCGGTCAACGGAGTCGCCCCGCCTCCGCTGCCGCCTCCACCTCCTTCTCCGCCTCCTCCTCCTCCTCCGCCTTGGGCTCTTCCCGGCCCAGTCTCAGGCCTGTGGTGCAGCACCGCGGTCCTCAGCTGCGGCGCAGCAGCAGCAGCAGCGGCTGTGGCGCGAGGAAGCAGCTCTGCGCTTGCGCGCTCGCGGCCCCGCCCAGCCCCGCCCCGCCCCTTGCTCACGGGCTGGCAGAGGCGGACACGGAGGCCTTCGCGTGGCTTGTCTCACCCAAAGTGGCGAGGGCCGGGTGGGGCCGCCAGCTGGTGAAAGAAGTGGCTTTTCTGCTTCATACACTTATACTTCCGTAGACGAACACCTCTTTGGGATGCATGTGTACGTGTGTGTGTGTGCTTGAGAGAGCAGCCACCTTTTTCTGTCCAGCCTTTGGCAAACTCTTGCTAGTGGGGTGATTTAGCCCCACGCTGGCGTCGCGGTCTTTTCGGCGACTGGGCGTAAAGCTCTGAGGGGCAAAACTGCTCCTATTGTTTTGTTGGTGCGGGAGCTTCGCTCTCGGTAGCCTTAAGGATCCAGCCGGTCACGCTTTTCCCAAACCGGAGACCTCAGCTTCCTCGGCCTCCCCTGGCAGACTGAAACAAAAGCCGGAATTGGAAAGACCACACCTAAATTGATATTTTTGTTCTTATCAGTGGCCCGCTTTCCTCAAGCACCCATTCCCGTGGCCCTCCTTAGATGACAGGAATCCTGAACATTTCAAAGGATGCGAAGCCATAAGGAAAACTTAAAATTCTATACAATGTCCTGCTGTTCGTGTTTGTACACTTCTGCCGACAGCGAGGTTTCCACTTCGAAGGTGGGCCTTTATTCACAAAGGCTGGAGGGCTTTAGGGGATTTGGGGGACATGGAAAAGAAAAAATTGCGTTAAGAAGTTGCTGCCTCGGGGTAGAGTGGGATCGAGTCTTCGCACCCAAGGAAACAGAAGGTCCTGTAGGTAGTTCCCTTGCATTTGGAAAGGATCGGCTTGGTCGTTTTTTTTCAGATGCAAAATCCCAAGAAGTCGAGATAGGAGAAGAGATTCCACCACCTACCCCGCTTGCAGCCCTTACACACCCCTACGGGAGTAGACCAACTTGGGTGGGATTTTGCTGGGGAAGAAAGAAGATAGAAGGCGAAGTGTGTGGCGCCATGATCGGAAGTCTGGGTTTAATTCTTAGCTGCTAGGTGGAAAATTTACGTGGGAGGGCTATCTTAGAGATGAAATTTAGCCTTCCTTTCTCATACTGAGTAGAAGGGTTATTCTGAAAGCTGGTTTTGCTGGTCTTTCATTCTGGCTTAGGGCATTTGCAAAGATGCATTACTCACCGCTGGAGGATTCTCTTCAAGTCCTCTTTTATCTCTTTCTCTGAACTTGATGTTAATAAATCTCTACATTCCCTAAACTAGTTGCTGTTATCGCACTAAATATCTTCTATAATTAGAGATTGTGTAGTACAAGTCTAGGATTCTCAGACTCTTTGTAGTGGAAATACTTTTATACGGCATACCCTTCAAGCAGAGAGAAATATTTCTATCAAGTAAAACCCTCTTTTTTAAAAATTAGGAAGTGCATATGCTTTGGTTCATTAGCTTTATTACTATATTTTGTTTTGCCCCAGAGGCCTAAAATTTTTTTTAAAAACCCTTTAGTATTGTTTAACCATTTGACTTTCAAGAAATCATATCTAGATCTCAGAGAAATAGAATGTTTAAGTATGCTAAGTTACAGAAAGTTTATTAATTGATAGCTTACTGCTTTGGATTCTCATATTGGGATCAAGTGTATACTTGATTATATGCACAAACATTTTCCTGAGAAACAACAAATACCCTTGTACATATTGTAAATATGTGATAAATTATACAGAAAAGAAGAAAGAGTCCTAGAAAATTCACGTGAAAGAAATATGTGCCACTGATGTGATAATTAGTAGACAACTATTTAGGCAACCTTCTTCCACTTTTGTTACTTCATTTGAGATACGGCTGTTAACTCACTATAAGAAAGAACATGAGAGAAGAACTAGAATTTGACAATCTGTCCACTAAGAAAAGAGAGTTCCTTTTGTTAAAGACAAGATTAGCACAGCAGGCAAGTTTTGGTATCTGTACTAGTCAGGATAAGCTAGGTTTTAACAAACATCTCTGCAGCTTATTGCAACAAAGGTTTATTTCTCACACATTACTTTTTTGACACAAGTTATCAGATTGCCTACCATAGTGGAATTCACCAGGAAACAGACACTAAAACTCTTAGATTTTCATGCAAGAGATTATGGGGTAGTGTTCTCAAAAACAATGTCTTTGGAGATGGAGGGTCATAAGATCAGGCAGAGGGAAAAGTTACAAACAAGGCTTTAACCAAATTCTGCAAAGGACACTGAGGGATGGACCTTCAGTGTTGTCCTAAATTGAGGCAGCGAGCCAGATCTTTATATTCTCATATCTGATAGGGCTGCACCTAGAAAAGGGAGATGACCTTGGTATAGAGAGCTTTCTTCAGCAAAGAACAAGCCCAGAAAGGGACCCAGCTGAGAGAACTGTCAGCCTCCAACATTTCCAGCAATTGGGAGTGGTTGTGCTTCAGTCCTAAAGGGTAAATCTGAGTAGCTCAGCACAATATCCACTACATAGACTCTGCTGATTGTAGTCACTGAAGTCCCCAGAGTGATGGAAGCTTCAAACAGATAGTACATGCTTTCAAGATCGCCACTGTAGAGATCATGAAATTTAATTGCTAGTGCTGCAGTGTCTTGGTATGTATGAGGAATGAAAAAGAGGCTGGTTTATTGGAACACAGAAGATCAAATTAGAGAGGTGCCATGTGCCACATCATACAAGGTGTGGATCATTTACCTGTTTGCTCAGTCCTACTCCCTTACCTTTTCTTCTTTTTTCACGGGCTCACTCCTGCAAACCAAATTTCCAACATTCTCTTGGCCACTGGCTTCTGGTTAGGTTCAATGGAAGGCACAAGATTCAGTTAAATCCAGGTTCCCTAAAATGGAACAGCGGCTCCCTCTCATTCCTCCTTTTGTTCAGCAATTATTTATTGTCCACTGTGCTCCAGGCTCTATACTAGGCAATTCTGAATACAATAAAAAAAGAAAGTCAGTCTCTGCTCTCACCAAACTCTGTGATATAAAAAAATTACAGTTCCTCAAACATACATGCGTTTGTGCCTTTGCATTTTCTGTTTTGTCTGCGAATGCTCTTTCCCCCTCTGACTGACTCATTATTACTTTTTACCATTCAACACCCAACTCAGATAGTACTACTACCTCTGAGAAGATTCCTCTGACTCCAAACCTCACACAGAATTAATTAATTCCTCTTTGTGTTATTTTTATTTTCTTTTTTATAATTTATAATATTTTAATAATAAACATACAATAGCTTTATAATCAGAAAAAATGGTGTAGTGTTTTTAAAAGAACAGATATGAATGATGCCTGTATAGTGCCTGAATTTCAAATTAGACAGGTTTTTAAAATTTTCTTCCATAGAGCTACTTTCCTTTATTAAATTTTAGCTACCTCCACCCATCCCAAATTACTTTCATAACCAGTCTTTTATACCTTTCATATGAATTAGTCAATAACCTACTTTCTAACAGTTATTTCAGAAAATATTTGTTAGGGTGGAAAAGAATATAAGGATATTGATTGGGTTCGGGAGTTGTCCTAAAGGAAAAGAGGTACTGAAAGGAAAAAGGGAGAAAGCATAGAGAAACTTAATTACTTCATAAATTTTCCTAGGTTAGCCATGTCTGTCGCTAAGGCATAATAGATTAATTATCCCCATTTTATTTTGAAAACTGAAATATATGTCTTTCAAAAAAAGCAATAACTCAAGTGTATATTTTGAAGAACTAGAGTCAAATATTGAACTAGGCTCTCCTAACTCAGGATTCATATTCTTCATCTTGTTATCTCTTTCTATTCAACTTTATTGTTAATCAACAACTCTTGATTGTCAGAATTACATGTCTGTTACTTTCAAATCTGTACTAAAGTGTTACCTACTCATTTATTCTGCTGATATTTAGTGAACATCTGTTATGTGCCCATAAGTGAATAAAACATGAAAATTTCCATCCTCTTGGAACTTCATCTAACAAAGGGAAAAAAATAATAACAAAAAATAAATAAAGTTTGTAGAGGGTGTCAAGTATATGGAAAAAGAAAAGGAATACAGGTTAAGAGTAATTAAAATATTGAGGTAGGGCCCTAGCTGATGTAGGGCTCAGTTGATTGAGCACTTGACTGTGAACCCAAGGGTTGCTGGTTCAAATCCCAGTCAGGGCATATATCTGGGTTGCAGGCCAGGTCCCCAGGATGTACAGGAGGCAATAGACTGATGTGTCTCTCACTGGTCAGTGTTTCTCTCCTTCTCTTTCTCCTTTCCCTTCTCTCTCAAAATAAATATCTTTTTTTAAAAAAAGAAAAAATATTGGGGTAGGGAGGCCAATCAAGTCATAGTGTAAAATATGATAGGATAAGTCTTGTTGAATAGTAAAATTTGAGTAAAGATGTGAAGAAACTGGCGTCTTTGGAAGAACTAAAAAGCCTGCATGACCAGTCACCAAGAACTCAGAAGACACTGGCAAAAAACAAAAAACAGTAGTAGATTATGTTTTGCATTTGATCTTTATCCTACCAGCACTGGGCAGCTACTTAAAGATGTTAGGAGGAATACCATGATCAAATATACATTTTGAACAAATCCTTCAGGCTGGTACAAGGAGATTGGTTCAGAATGAGTTGATCAGGAGATCACTTGGGAAGCCACCTAGCCCAGCAGGACAGAAGGTCTATATATAAAAATAAGAATCCATTAGACCAAGAGAGTTATGTATTCTGAAGTTATATAAGAACCAATAGCACATAGCTATAGCTAGTTATTAATAATTAGCAACATTTTCAAATATACTCCAGTTCTGACTTTAGACTAGTTCTCTGCATCAGCCTCAAAGGCACCAAATCTGAAAATTACCAGTTATGATAGGAACTCTGGCACCAGGAATAAAATATGGATGAAATGGCCACAAGGAGGGCTGCTATACTTTCAGAAAGAGACAGAAACCTAAAACTGAAGTGAGTTTTAACCCAAAGGTTAAAATACTAATCCCCAGAACTATTACTGCATAATCCTTTCCTGTCTATGATCATGCGAGAAGGTGGGACTAAGCTTTTGGCTGGGACCCAGGTAAACTGTGGTGAGAAGAGTCTGGACAACAAAAGCAGTGCTACAGGAAGTTTGGCTACTTTGACATGTGTGGCGGAAACATGGGTGCTCCACAAATATATCATCTGCTTCCTAATATTTCCTGTTCCTTTGTGGAGATGTAGTAGAGGTAATTTGTGTCATTTCTAACCAAAGCACAGAAGAGTCAGTATTACACTCCAGCTATCTTTTTCCCTGCCACTAAGCAGGCTTAGTTACCACTAAGCAACTAAGAAGGTCAAGTATTCAAGGTAGTATAGCTACAAAATGGTGCAGCCACCATTAGCTTGGGTCCCTGATAACAAAGCAGAGCCCCCTTTAATTTACACTGGACATGGATCTTGAGTCAAAAAAACCTTTTATATTAAGCTACAGAAATTATAAGAGTTATTGAGCATAATCTAGACTATGCAGATGAGTCAACACATTTTATCTCCAACAGATACAGTGCCTTGTCAGCACATTTTAATAAAACAGGGCTATGATTCAAACATGAGAAGTATGAAGGAGAATAGCTGTTTTTTTAATTACTGAAACAAATCATCTATTAAATAATATGTAATTTCATGAGAATCAACATAGTGGTCTAGAGCACCTGACTTTTTTTTATAGGTATCAAGGGTACATCAGATACAAGGCAAATAACAAAGACTGACTATTGAAAGAAAACTATCTGAAATTATATATAGTGGTTAAAAGAATCAAAGTAAGAAATGGAAGACTTTGAATATGGGATGTTTGGGTTGTTTTGCAGTTTTAAGATTTCATTACTCATATAGCAGGAGAACTATATCAAGTTGTGAAGTTACTGGATCAATTCAAAGAGTACCTTTTTTTTTAACCAAATGGCAAAATATAACATCCACAGAGTATCTCCTTATGTTGTAAATCTTTTAAATCTCTCATGTTTGGAATTAAAAGAAACAATTACATATAGTGGGGGGGGGATAGTAAACCAGAAGGCCAAATTTTTAGGAACAGCTCTGCTCCTGATTCTATGACTTTGAATGAATCATTTCTCTTCTCTAGACCTCAATTTTTATCTATAAAATAAGTTTATTTAAAATAAGTTCTTATTTTAAATAAGAACTAGTGAGCTAGGTCTGTTTTCTTTTAGCTTTAAAACTCTTATTGACATCGCTGACATTCCTACATTAAAAAAAATTACATATAATGACAGATTTCATTTTTACCCTAAAGAATACAAGTTGAAAACAGAAATATTGGGGAAAAGCATTTTTATAGCATATTACTTTACATTAACAGAAATGTTGTGATTCTTTGTGTAAATTATTTTATGAAATAGTTGAAGCTATTTGTATAATTTTGAGTCCTAAGTTATGCAGTCTTATCAGTATCTGGTTTTTACATTTTTCTTCTTAATGTCGATTCCCACTGTTCATAGCAAGAATGTAGAAGCAAGATATTTTTCCACTTACATACAAATATGCAGTCAAAACATGCAATTTGCCCTTTATGATCCCCAGAAAGGTCTGAATAACATCTTACAACATAGTCAGAAATATTATGACTTATGAAAGTTACTAACCAATCAATAAGCATTTGGTAAGTTTCTTCTGGGTGTATGACTTTGTATAAATGTTATATCAATATTAAATTTTTTATGCTTACCCTAGGATATTTTTTTCATTGCTTTCAAAGAGAGAGGAAGGGAGGAAAAGAGAAACATTAATTGGTTGCCTTCTTGTACACACCCTGATAGCTGATTGAACCTGAAACCTGGTTATATGCCCTGACCAAGAATTCAGCCTCTGACATTTCGGTCTATGGGACAATGCCCTAAGTGAGCGTTGTCTCAAAGTGAGCCACAGTGGCCAGGGTACTTTTTTTAATGCTTCACAAATTTGCATATCATTCTTGCTCAGAGGCCATACTAATCTTCTCTGTATCATTCCAATCTTAGTATATATGCTGTCAAAATGAGCACTCAATATTAATTTTTAAAATCTCTGTATATCAGTATGATGAGTGTAACATAGTTCCCTAATGCTGAAGTAATAAAAGCATAAATTATTTTTCTCCAATTAGTTCATGTAGAATTATATGACCTATGAAAATATCATTTTCCCAGAAGGATTTTATAATATTAAAGAGCAGTGACTAAATCATATGCTCTTATACACACAAAAAAGTTCAATAAATTGTCACTGGAGTGAAAAGCCAGATAACTGACGGCACAGAATAAGGTGAAAAGATTTTATCCTGCAAAGCCTATTTATACCTTGAGTATCAGAAAAAAATCATAATGAATATTTTTTCTTATGGCACATTGTATAAATGTTTGAAAAATTTTCTAAGCGTGTCAATATGATTCTCATTTAGATGCTGAGGAAGTTGCATAAACATTGAAATGCACAAAAGTTAGAAAACAAGTCTGTCCTATGGCCTTGCATTCTAGTTTTTCTGGCTTTTGATAAATATTTATCTGGCCTCTCATAATGACCACCAAACAACTGCACTACACTATCTGCTTGCAGAAAGTACATGAATAATTTCAAGAGCAACTGAAACTACTGTAACACTCATCCCTACAACCTTCACCATGTGTAAGTACATATTCATTCTTCTTAGAGACTTCTGATATACTGAAATATCTACATCAAAACTTTCTTCCTCTTTTTTATTGGCTTTAAAAAAAATTGTTGTTCAAGTACAGTTGTCTCCATTTTCCCCTAACTCCCACCCCACCCTTGATCTTACCCCTCTTTGGCTTTGTCCATGGGTATTTATACATGTTCCTTGATGATCCTTCTCATTCTTTCCCCTGTTATACCCTTCTCTCTTCCCCTCTGGTTACTGTCAGTTTGCTCTTTGTTTCAATGTCTCTGGCTATATTTTTCTTGCTTGCTCATTTTGTTGATTAGGTTCCACTTATAGAGAGATCATACGGTATTTGTTTTTTACCACATGACTTATTTCACTTAGCATAATGCTTCCCAGTTCCATCCATGCTGTTACAAAGGGTAAGAGGTCATTCTTTCTTTCTGCTGTGTAGTAGTCCATTGTGTAAATGTTCCATGATTTTTTGATCCACTCATTTGTTGATGGGCACTTGGGTTGCTTCCAACACTTGGCTATTGTAAATAGTACTGCCATGAACATTGGGGTGCATAGGTTCAATTTGTATTTCAGGATTCTTAAGGTATAATCTCAGCAATGAAATCTCTGGGTCAAAAGGCAGTTCCATTTTAAGTTTTTCCACAGTGGCTACACCAGCCTGCATTCCCACCAATAGTGCACTAGGGTTCCCTTCTCTCCACAACCTCACAGGTACTTGTTTGTTGATTTGGTTATGATGGCTATTCTGACCAGTGTGAAGTGATATCTCACCATGGTTTTAATTTGCATCTCTCTGGTGGTTAGTAAAACTGAGCATTATTTCATATGTTTCTGGGCCCTCTGTATGTCTTCCTTGGAGAAGTGTCCATTCAGGTCCTTTGCCAATTTTTTAATTGGGTTGTCTTCCTGGAGTGGAGTTGAGTGAGTTCTTCATGTATTTTGGAGATCAAACCCTTGTCTGAGGTGTCATTGGCAAAAATGTTTTCCCATATGGTTGGATCCCTTTTTTTATTTTGCTTATGGTTTCTTTAGCTGTGCAGAAGTTTTTTACTTTGATGTAATCCCATTTTTGTATTTTTCCTTTATCTCCTATAGGGGACCATTTTGTGTGGCATGAGGAATGTAGCCTAACCCCCACTCATAAAGGCCAGCGGGGAGTGAGGTCTGGCACACAGGTCCCACTCCCACAGATAGGTTCTCCAGTGGGGAGTCAGGCCTGCATTGTACCTAGGCTGCTATGAGACTTGCTTTTGCTAAACTTCTTTACCCTGGATTGAGGCAGAAAATGTTTACTGCATATCCTTAAAGTAACTTCCTAAAATCTGTATTAAACCTCTCAAGTATGGAATGTAACCAGTTCAACCACTTTTCCCCTTGATCTGTAACATCCTTCTCTTTGAAGTTACTGGCAATACTTTTTCCTTTGTTATCTGTAAAAGGTAATCACCTATAGTGAACCTGTGCAGAGTAAATGAGGACCATGCTTGTTGTAATGTACCCGGAAAAGCAATAAAAGCTTGTCCAGGCAGGGATTGGGCCCTCTCAGAGACGGGCCATGCTGTCCCTTTTTCTCCACAGGACTTCTGTAGTTTCTGTGAATTTGTCTGTTGCAGCAACAACACACAGAACCATGGGCCCGGGTCCACATCAATCTCCCTTGCCAAGGAGCTATATCAGCAAAAATATTGCTTCAGGATATCCAAAATTTTACTATCTATGTTCTTCTCTAGGACTTTTATGGTATTGTGACTTATGTTTAAGTCTTTTATTCACTTTGAGTTTATTTTTGTGCATGGTGTAAGTTAGAGGTCAAGTTTCTTTTTTTTTTTTTTTTTTGGCATGTAACTGTCCAAAACTTTCTTCTTCTTAATTTAGAATTTCCCTAGTTAAAATAAGTTAGCTATTTAGAGCTAAAATGTGATGTTTTTATTTTTCAAACACTAAACTAATCATGCTTAAAATTTGAACCTCTTCCATTCAAATGTATTCTTATTCCCTTCAACTAAAAGACTAATTTTAAACCCCTGTTGCAGTACGAAACTGAATTATACAACAAATTTAGGATAAAATCTTTGTCTATATTTGATCTCAAAGGTGTTCAAAAAGCAAGATGACCACCCACTCTTTTTAATAGAAAGAAATCCAAGTTCCACTTATAAAAATAACAATTTAAAAGAAGCCTGATTACAGGCAGCCCTTCTTAGAGCATGTCTCTATTTCATGCATCAGGAAACTCACAGTATCTCTGGCATCTTTAACATTCTTTTTCTTCAGAATCATCATTGCCTTCTCATGCTGACTCATTTCTCCTGGGGGGATTCTCTTCCAGTATATACTTCTCATATTAATCTAATCATTCAGTATATATTTGCTATTATCCAGAAATTGGCTATATTCTTCTTAAAGCACAGGAAAAACATGAAACTACCAGACTGGGGGAAGGTTCTTCTTCAAATATTACAGAATAATCTTTCCATATACCAAAAATAAATGCCTCTAAAAAAAGGCAACAAACACAAATTATTGTTAAAATGGTTTTACAGCTAAGGATTACTCATACACATTGTGTTTGCCAAGTTTTATATAGGACATCTGTCAGAAAGCTTATTTGCCATTGTCTCTCTTTCCTACATCTTCCTCTAAGGAATTTTTTTCTCTTGGCACAAAACCCTCAGTAATAGGAAAAAACGGGGTGGAGAGGAAAATATGGGGGGGGATGATTAGCCTTTGTAACAATTTCCAATTAAAAGGCTAATGATCAATACCACATAACCAGTTGTCCATTATCCCACCTATCTCTAACCAAGGACAGTCCTATAGAATAAGTACTAACTTCATAACTCATGAACAAAGGTCTTCACAATCATAAAGTCTGGACATGCTGAGCCTTTTACAGTTTGCTAAATATACCAGGCCCTTTCCCAAATTACACCTCCTTTATAATTTAAAATAATGCAGGAGGAGGTCTATCATTTTCTACATATTATTCCCTTCATAGTCAATGCCTTTGCCTGCTTTTTTTTTTCAGGCAATCTTCTACTCTTTCAAAATCCAGCATAATTTTCACCTCCCTGGTAAAATACTGTCCAGTTCTCAGGTCAGTATTACCTGCCTTTTCCTCAGTGTTCCCCAAAACCTTTGTTCATACGTCAAAGTAGTGTAACATTCCTCTTCCATTTTTATTGTTCTTTGTTTGGATTTCAGAAGGGAGGGAATGATGAGTAATTTTTAATGTTATTTATTCTTTATACTTTTATACACTATTTGACTTTCTACAGTGTATTATTTTTTAATTAGAAAAACATATAAATTATTTCAAAATAGTAGTTCAGGACAAAGAAAATAAAAAAACAAGTAGTCTTTAGTATCCAAAACAAAAATTATATTCAAGGTAAATAAAAGCAAAAAAATCAAGCAAACTCTCTGCATACTATCAAAAACCAAATCACTTCATAGATGATACTTTATCATTGGCATCAAAACCTAATAGTTGTCAAAATCTTCTGAATTTTAAAAAATATTCTATTTAGAACTCTGAATTATTACCAGTTAGATTTGTGGCTTTTTTCTAATTTATTGTACTATATCATTCATGTAAGCCTCCTAAAGCCCTTGATGGAAGAGAAGTGGTGTAAATAATCCATATGGGCGCTAGATTGTTAACTGTCCCTGGCAGTTTCCGCAAGATCCACATATTTAGCTAGGATGGGAATACTTCTTTAAGGCAAGACATCATGAACACAGCAAAACAATCTAGCCACGTGGCTAAAACCCATAATGTAAAAGAGATCTCACATGCAGTCAACAAAAGCACAACTATATGCAAAATATCCTAAATAATATGCAGGAGATTCTGATGTTTATTTTCATCTCTTCTTCATTATAGAATGATAAAAACCTTTAGCTGCAAATGGCTAAGTTGTGTTTTCTTATATGTTTAAGTTATCCTCTTCTGCTGATATGCTTTTATGTGTTCTGTTCTTGCGCAGTGCACATCTAGCTAGGATACCGGGTGGTTTATGAGATCAGTATCTTTATTATTATTATTTGCAAATGCAGTGACTCTTTCTAAACCTGTAATTTATGAATGATTACTTCAAACTGTGTTGTCTAGGAGGCTTGACTAGTGCTCTGCCCTAACCCATTGTCACTCAGCTGTTTCCATGCCTGATGTTACCAGCAATGTTAGACCTCAGTTTTTGAGTTCAGCTAAGCAAGCATTCAGAGCTCGAGCTCTGAATTCAGAACTCTTATGCAAGAAGTTTATTTAGAAAGTCACAGAGTTTGAAGAAGTGATCCAGCTGGGCTGTATGGACTCAGAAAACAAGTTACAGAGTCAGAAGAAGGGCCCTTGGAGCTTAGGAGAAA